ATTAATTATATTGTTTATCGCCTCTAACTTGGTTTTGTAAAGTGCTCCAAAATGGCGGCAAAAGCCTCCAAAAAAAAAGCTCTTATCAATTTTTATCTGGAAGAGTATTTATAAGATTTTAGATATAAGATTTTAGAATACTTAATGGGAATGGACCTGCAACCTGTGCCAAAATAAAGACAGGCTGTGATTCGCTGAAAATCGCACAGGATGTCGACACTTCAATGGAAGTAATGACACCTTCACTGCATAGTGGACAGAGAGTTCGTGTCGGAGATTTTGGACCTAAATGCAATTTTGGTGCTTCTTTGGGAAACTATTCTGGTCTTTCATCTCTCATCAATTGACACTTTGATTTTCATATTTTTTATTTCTTCAGTTTGGTCCTAAAAATTACAATTTTTTATTTTTTATTTTCTTTTTCTTAACTACTTTGATTTATATTTTTAAGACTTGCACAGGGTGTCGACACTTCAATGGAAGTACGGACACCTTCTGCATAGTGGACGCAGAGTTCATGTCGGAGATTTTGGACCTCAATGCAATTTCGGTGCTTCTTTGGAAAACTGTTCTGGTCTTTCATCTTTCATCAATTGACACTTTGATTCTCATATTTTTTATTTCTTCAGTTTGGTCCTAAAAATTACAATTTTAATTTTTTATTTTCTTTTTATTAACTACTTTGATTTATATTTTTAAAACTATGTTGTTAAGCCCAAATTACAAGAGAGATCGATAATGGTAAATTTTCTTATGTTAAAATATGATTTTATTAATTTAAATTATTTTAAATTTTATTTATATTTATTTGAAAGATTTATAATTATTGCATGCTATAGTTTTATATAATTAATGTTTCGGTGAGATGAAGAGACATTATCAGCATCACATACTTAGCTCACTTTCACCTCTTTGATCAATACCCATATTATCTTTCGGTCTTCCCTCAACCTTATTTTTACCTTATTACCTAGCATGTACAGTTCTAATAGGATCAAGGTGGAATAGAATTGGGAAAGAGATCATCATATGAGTTCGGTTTTCAACACTCAATTTGAGATTAATCTTATCTCACCAACCTCCCGGGCTATGGTTCCTCCTTGGGTGTTTGGAGCTTAAAAA